GGTATGACTTTATAACCATTTGTGAAGTGGTCCATCTTTGCAAAAATATTACATTCCATGGGTAAAGAACAAGTCTTAGAATACCATGTGGTACAAATTCATGAAACCAATTTCTGTATTTAAAAACAAAACAAAGACTACTAAACAGTCCAAAGCTGTTGTAGCTGAATATTCTAAATACGAGCCAACAGTACTACACTAAAAATGTCCAAAAATAAGGCCTCTGAAATAAATATTTCCATTCTTTAAAAAAAGACATAATAAATGTATATCACATGGTCAGTGTACATATAAAAGTCATCAGTTTAAACCATTCTGGATGACGTATCTGAAGTAAAGTGACCTAGGTTTTGCTTCTGTCGACGTCCTCTGTTGTTTTTGGGACATTTTCTGTTGCATTAAAAAAGAAAGAAAAACATCATTTTGGTCATTTTGTTTAGGATATTTCAAATGTTTGGAAAGTAATATGTATTTCACATATAAAGTTACATTGCATGCAAATACATGAAAGGGAAACAAAATGCTGTTTGGTGTAGGTCAAGATGAGGGTGAACACAATAACAGGCTGCTATCTTGTCTAAAAACTGGGAGCTTGGAGGATTTGATTTGTGATTTAAGCACAAACACAATGAAACTCACTCTTGGTTATCTACGCTACTGCGCATGTATCCCTGAGAGAAATCCCCTCCCTCTCCATGGCCTGGCAACTCCCCCGCCACAATGACTGATAAACTACATGACAACAGAAAGGACCTTGGCCTCTGTACTTTCCCTAAACAATGACACCCCTGACATAACAAGAACAGTCTGGATGAACACAAAAATCAGGAAGGCGTGTGCTTATTAACCTCAGATATGAACACCTAAGAAATGGTAACTTTGTACAATGACTCAAAAGAAGTAATTCTCACATCCTGTTGGAGCAAATCACAGACTCCCGTAAGGAACTGCCATGCTGAGGATGCTGGGCATTCCTAGACTCTGCTCTCATTTTGCATTAAGTATTCTCCATTGACGTGGATTTCATTGTGTTGTAACTCCTCTTGTGCCTACCCACTAGCTTGTAAACATGACAGTTCATCCTACACACAGGTGCTGTGGTACACAATGTAGAGAATAGGGCTGGGATGAATTCTGGTCATTCTGAGTTTGGGCTCTGCTAATAACTAGCTGTGTAACCCGATTTTCCTAATATGTAAAATAATTAAATTAGGAGTCAAATTAACCTCTAAAATCTCTGCTAGAAAAGGAATTTATAACTTAATGGAAATAAAACTTGTAATAATGAGTGCTCCTACACTAACATTGCATGGGTTTTATTCAATTTAAGAGAGTACTACTTTGAGCCACCAGGTGGAAGAGTGCTAAAGGCACTGGATTCCCACATGACTTCCACATGGGAAAGTTCAAGTCCCAGACCTGGTGCCTTGAAAACTGCATGTGTGCGCTATCCCCCAACCTCCGGCGGGGGGAGGGGGGAGGGAGATGGCTATACCCCTGTGGTGTGATTTTTCTCACTTTCCCTCTCACTGTCAGTCTCTCTCTCTCTCTCTCTCTCTCTCTAGTGAGCCCACACATTCTACAGCAAAGGCCTTAAAAAATAAATAAATAAAAAGTACTACTTTGCTTTGACTTAAAAGCCTTGATGATAACACATTAATTTCATGTACAGTTTTCACCAATTTCATCTCACTAACCCTCTTAAAAGTATACTGAGGCAGACAGAGCTAGAATCATCTCCATTTCATAAGTGAGAAAATTGGTTGAGAAATCAAGTGACCATTTTTAACCATTACTAACTCACTATGACCTTGGAAAGGTTCTAAATTCCTGAAGCCATGATGTTCATGGTCCCTGCCAATTTGTCATTCTATGGGCCTAAAAGCATAAAAGAAGATTCTAAACAGCAAAGAAGAAAATCTGACTCATGTGGTCTTGATAAGTAGGTCAGTAGGAGCATTGTTTTAAAGGGAGATTCCTCACATTTAACAGCCACCAGGGGATAAGTGAACAGCTGTCCCATAATGGACTGTGTGGGAGAAGCATTCCTTAAAATTCAATGGAGATAAGTCCAAGAACACAATTATAATATTCTAAATCCAAGCCAGCAAAACATTCTAGAGACAGAAATAGTACAGTAGGGAAAAAAAAAAAAAAAAACAGGCCCCAAGGACAAAAACTGTGATAAATTCAATAAGTCGAGCCTTCAGTCATGGAGACAGTGGGTAGTAAAAACATAGTCACAGTTAAAAATATGCTGTGAGTGGCTATGAAGACAGCAAATGGATTCAGAGGATGCCAACTTAAAAACGACCTGCCAGTTAGTTTTATTTTAGTAGTTGAGAGGAATACGGCACACCAAGAACAGAAGCGCAGAGTTGGGTAAAGGCTGGATTAGGAGGTATAAAAAAGGCTCAACTAGCGCTATGACCTTGAGCAAGGTTCTTCCCATCCCAGGTCTTCAGTGTCCTTGCTCCTCTAAAGGAAGGGTTTAAATGCAAAGTTGTTTCCCAGTCTATCACTCAGCCTCAAAAATCTTCCCTTAACTTTATTTCATTCTTTGGTCTTCCAAATAATTCATTAACCCACTTCTGCTTTACTCCAATAACATCCTAAATGTCATCCTCCCAGTAAACATTTCCCCTACTCCAGTGAATTTTGCAGATTAATGTTCTAACATAATGGTTTCTATCAAATTCCTTCCCTGCTCAAAACTCCTAAACTGCTATAAAGTCTAGTTTGTAGCTTGCTTCTTTGCGATGATCATACTAGACAGTTCCCAAGATGACTCAACATGGAGCCTCCTCTTCATGGTTCAGAAGAAAAAGAAGTGATTTGGGAATCAGCACTGAATCCAAATCTGGGCACTCCTATTTAATAGCTGGATGACCACAGGCAAACTATTTAACCTCTGAGGCTTTATTAAATGGCCTTACTGTTAAAATGTTTTTCCCTTCTTCTCTTATTTGTTATATCACTATGTCCCTAACTTTGATCTACTGCCCAGTTTTATACTCAGCAGTCTTGCCTAAGGGCAGATCATCTGTTCTGTGGAATAAAGTATACTGATTTTAGTGCCTAAATTTTATGAAAAATATCTGTTACTTAGGGAACATTTTTCATCATTTCTACATTTATCATTTCAACTCCAGATGGCCGAGACTACTGAAGGTCTGGCTTCTATCCAGACCTTGGATAGAAGGGCCATAAATCCATTATGGCCTGCCAATATTTGTATTTGATAAGCTCCACTCCTCTGTCCAGAATACTGTAGGATGGAACTTGCAAACTAAACTTTAAAGAAAATAGGAAGAGGTACCAGCAGTTAGCACAATGGCTGTGTCGCTGGACTCCCATGGAGTCGACCACGGTTTGAGTCCCAGACCTGGTGGCTTCAACTCATGCCGGACACATGTGCGTGCGTGCCCAAGATACCAAGAGGAGAATGGAGAAGGGATTGTGGCGTGGCCATCCTCCTGGTGGGAGATTTCTCGCTGTCTCTGTCTCTCTCTCTCTGTCTTTCCAGTGAGCGCATGCATCCTATAGCAAAAACCTCTCAAAAAAAAAAAAAAAAAAAAGGAAGAGAAAGGCAAGAAAAAATGACAGGAGGCTGGGAAGCACAAAGACAAATGAACTTGAATTTTCTCAGATCCAGTTCAGTCTGACTTATTTATTTCCAATCAGTTTGTAAAGCACAATCTTTATGACAGTTGTACTTCAAATAAGTTCTTTAATTTTTAATAAGTGATTTTATTCATGATAGAGAAGTTTAAGGTTTTTGCTATAGGACACATGTGTTCACTGGAGAGAGACAGAGACAGAGAGAGAGAAAGTGAGAAGTCAATGCCTAGGGAGGATGGCCAGAATGCAATTCCTTCTCCTCCATTCTCCTCTTGGGATTTTGGATATGTACATACATGTACCAGGAAGATTTTTCAGGCCACTAAGTCCAGGGCTTGAACTGTGGTCGGCCACGTGGGAGTCTAGTATCTTAACCACCACACTCCCTGCTGCCCCCCATGACAAGGAACTTTAAAGTTATTACTTATCACTGTAATCCAGAAAAATGAAGTAATGTTAAGATGATATAATAAAAAAAAAAGTAGTTGGAATCAGAAGATTGCATAATGCTTACTCACTGGACTCCCACATAGTCAACTGTAGTCTGAATCCTGGACCTGGTGGCTTAAAACTCACAGTGGACGCATGTGAATACATGCTCAAAATCCCAAGAGGAGAAGGGATTGTGGTGTGGCCATCCCCCATGGGGGTTGATTTCTCACTTTTTTTTCTCACTCTCTATCTCTCTGTTTCTCTCTCTCTCTCTGGTGAGCACACATGCCCTAGAGCAAAAATCTCTCTTAAAAGAAAGAAAGAAAGACCATCAGTTGGCAAAATGGCTAAGTTGCTGGACTCCCATGTAGTTGACTAGGTTTGAATCCTGGACCCGGTGGCTTAAATTCACACCAGGTGCATGTGCGTATGTGCCCGAGATCCCAAGAGGATAGTGGAGGAGAAGGGATTAGGGCGTGGCCATCCCACTGTGGGGTGAATTCTCACTTTGTCTCTTTGTCTCTCTCTCTCTCTGTCTTTCTGGTGAGCGCACATGCCCTATAGCAAAATCTTCTCCAAAAAAAGGGGAAAGAAGTTAATCTTTAGTCTCTGACTTCAACCTTTCTATTTTCTGTTCTTTATATACAATGTAAAGTGTATTCTTAGAGGCATAAAACACTCTGTAGTTCTGCAGGACTTAAAAATTCTCTGTATGGCTCTTCTGAGCATGTTCAGATCATTCTAGAACTTATCCTACTACCACTACTATCCTGAATGCAGTACTCAAAGATAGTAGTACACTGTTCTAAGTCTCTAATTCCTTTATGCCATTGTCCTTTCTTGTGCTCCCTCTGCCTGCAGCCCAGACCTGAGAGGACTTCATAAAACTCACAGACAGGGCCAGCAGGTGGTATGGGGGTTAAGGTGCTAAAATACCACATCATCAACCACAGTTTGAGTGCTGGACCCAAAGGCTTGAAACTCATGCCAGGTGCATCTGCATGCCCACCCGTCCAAAAACCCTAGAGTGGAGGAGAAGGGATTAAGGCATAGCCATCCCCCTGGGGGGGGAGGGGAGTGATTTCTCACTTTCTGTTTCTCTGTCTCTTCCACAAGCACACACACCCTATAGCAAAAATCTCAAAAACAACAACAAAAACTCACAGAGGGCCAGCCCTGTAGCATAGCGATTGTGCATGGGAAGTTGGATCCCACATATCTGACCATAATTCAAGTTCTGGCCCTGATGGCTTGAAATGGAAGGAAAAAAAGGACTGTGAGTGACCATGCCCCACTAGGGGATGCTTTCTCTCTCTCTCTCTGTCTCTCAAGTACGTACATCCTCTGGCAATTAAAAAAAATTCATAGAAAAATGGAATTAAAGTATGACTTTACTTTGGTGCAAAACCTTTTGAAATCTATGCACAGTTTCTTCATAACACACATTTTCCATAAACTTACGAAGACCCTCTATATACCTCTAGTCCTAGGAATAAGTTCTTGGCCACATTCTGAAGAAAAAGACAGGATAGGTCATACCCACATAGAAACCTCAGGGAACTGATGCTAGGATTTTCTTAATAGATAATGTGGACTTAAAGCACCTACCATTTGGAGTGTGCTTCAAGTTTTGTCTGCTTTTGTTTTTAAGAAATTATTTTATTTATTTGTTTATTTTTCTTTGCATGAGTTTTGCCAGAGAAAGACAGAGAGAGAGAGAGAGAGAGAGAGAGAGCAAGCCGCCAGGTCCAGGACTCGAACCGCAGTCGACCATGTGGGAATTTCAGTGCCTTAACCACCATGCCGCCTGCTGGCCTGAGAAGATAAATTAAAGCCAAGACCTCCTACATTATTACCTACCTTGTTATGCACATTACAATTGCTACTATAATGGCGATCTGTACAGCTCCAATAATTGCTGCAATGAGAACATGAGTGAGCTTCTGCCTGCTTGGCACTACATAGAGAATACTAAAGTCTGTCTTTTCACAGTGCTGTCCAGTGTAACCAGATTCACATCTGAAAAGGAAAAAAAAAAATTCCTATGAGAGTTATAAATTTCAATATTTGTAGGTTTTAAATTAAAAGATACCCCAAAAAAAGATAAAATTAATAGCAGTAGAAAATCAGGCACTTTTGTTTTTCCAGTATCTCAAAAATTTTTTTGCCATTTGTGTATTTCCCTTCTCTTTTTGAAATGCCTAGTTTACATAGTGCTCCCTTTACCTATGTGAATCACACTGATCTGAAAGCTGCTAAGTAGTCTTTATTATCAACATTTCAAAATAAATATGATTTTCCATTCAGTGACAATAACATAACTAATGTATCTATTGCCCATTCTAAGACACAGCAGTTATTTCAATATCTTCCAATTATAAATTAGGTATAATAAACATCTTGGTGAATATGTGCTTTTGTTTATTTAGTGTTATTCCTTAGGCTAGACATGAGAAAGAACAGACATAAACATTTCTATTCTGAAATGAGACTGAACAACTATCAGCACTAATGGTTCTCTGAATATAGTGCTAAATTATATTCAAGACACTTTCAGAGTATAAAATATAAACATTTAAGATGCAGGAGGAGATGAAAAAAGTTATTAATGACAGAAATGAAGGGAAACAGTCAAGTAGGTGCTAATCTTAGAAATTAACTGAATTTCAATTACAAGTAAATAAAAGGCGGCAACATCGGCTGATGATAATAATTTGACATGAAAAAAACATTTAAGATACTTATCAGTAAATTCGTATTTTTAAGCTGACAGAAGTGAAATGTATAAATTAAACAGCCTTCAGGTGGAACTGATTAAAAAACTGGAAGTGTAATGTGTATGTATTCCTGAATGTCCCACACCTTATTACAGAAAGGATTTGAGGTGGCTTATCATAAAACCACACATAACAACAATAATAAAGAAATCTGGGTGAAGGGGGCCAGGAAAAGCCAGAGGTGATAAGAGCTCTCAACTGTCTCTGAGGTTCCTAGAGACACCTGCCCAGCAGGTTTCACACTAACCATCGTGGCAGATGAAACGAACAAGGAGTGAGGCTGATTATATAGATCACAGAATAGAACCGAGAGCCCAGAAACGAACCCACACACTTATGGCCAAGTGGTTTTTGACAAGAGTGCTAAGATAATTCAATGAGGAAAGAAAAGGATCTTCAACAGACATTGCTGGGACAGTTATATACTCACAGGCAAAGGAATGAAGCTGGACCTCTTCCTCATATCACATACAAAAATCAACTCAAATCCTAAAGCTAAACATAAGAGCTAAAACTGACCCCTCCTGTGGTCCAGTGGTTAAGGAACATAGATCCCACATGGCCAACCATGGTTCGAATTTTGACCCTGATGGCTTGAGAAACATGCTGGGAACATGTGTGTGCATGATCAAAATTCCAGCAGGATGGACAAATGGAGGAGAAGGAACTATAGCATGACTATGACCCATTAAGGGGTGCTTTCTCTCACTCCCTCACACCTCTCTGCCTCTCTCTCTGGGAAATATGTGCAACTGTGGCGATTTAAAGTTAAAAAAGAGAGAGAGCTAAGACTATAACACTTTTAGAAAAAAACGCAGGATATAGCCACAATGGAAAAACAGTATAGTCTCTCAAAGACTTAATAACAGAATTACCATATGATCCAGTAATCCCACCAGTAGGTATATATCCAGAGGAAATAAAACCAGTATACATGAGATTTATCTATACTCCCAAATTTATTGTAGCTATTCACAATAGCCAAGATATGGAATCAGCCTAAGTGTCCATCATCAGATAAATGGATAAAAAAAATGCAATGTGTGTATACAACGGAATACTACTCGGCCATGTTTATTTGAAACAACGTGGACATATGAAAACAACAAAGACACTACATTAAGTGAAATACAGCAGGCTCACAAAGACAAATACTATTTTAAAAGTTAACCTCATAGAAGTAGAGAATAGAATGGTGGTTATCAGGCGCCACAGCAACGGTGAGAAAAAGAGCTGAGAATATATTGGTCAAAAGATAGAAAATTTGGGAACCAGCAGTTAGCGTAATGGCTATGTCGCTGGATTCCCACATAGTCGACCGTGGTTCGTGTCCCGGACCCGGTGGCTTAAAACTCACGCCGGGCGCGTGTGCGTGCGTGCCCAAGATCCTGAGAGGAGAATGGAGGAGAAGGGATTGTGGCGTGACCATCCCCCCTGGGGGGTGATTTCTCGCTTTCTGTCTCTATGTCTCTCTCTGTCTGTCTGGCGAGCGCACACGCCCTACAGTGAAAATCTCTCCAAAAAAAAAAGATAGAAAATTTCAGTTAGATGGGAAGGTTAAGCTCAAGAAATCTATTTTATTTTATAACTGTAGTTAATAATAATATATTCTTAGAAAATGCTAAGAGTAGAGTTTAAGTGTTCTCACCACAAAAATAACCATGTGAAGTATGTATATGTTAATTAACTATTCTACAATGTACACATATTCAAAACATCATGTTGTACATAATACATATATAGAATTATTCCTCAATTTTTTTAAAAAGTTAAACTTTAAAGAGACAAAAAATATATGAGTAAATCTTCATGACCTTAGACTAGACCATAATTCCTTAGATAAGACACTAAAAGTAAAAGCAACAACAACAAAAAAAATAAGACTAAATAAAAATTAAAATCTTCTATACTTATGAATACCGTTGAAAAAGTGAAGATAATCCACGAAATGGAAGAAACGTTTTCTCTTTTTATTGCCAGAGGGCACATGTGCTCACCAAAGAGAGAGGCAGAAGAAAGCATCCCCCAGTGAGGCACAGTCACACCAAAAATCCCTTCTCCATTTCTCCTGTTGGGGGTTGGGGCATACACAGACACTCGGAATGTTTTCTAAGACACCAGGGCCAGAACTCAAATGGCAATTGGTCACCTGAGATCTAGGATCCCTTAATCACTAGGCTACAGAACTGACCCACAAAGTTTTTTTCAAATTACTATATATCTATATATATCTGATAGAGACTTGTATCAAGAAGAGGGAAAAAAAAAATACTACTACAACTCAATAACCAAAAAACAAAAAGACAAGATTTAAAAACAAGCAAAGTATATTTAAAAACATTTCTCCTCAGGACTGGCAGTTGGCTTAATGGCTATGTCACTAGACTCCCATGTAGTCGACAATGGTTCGAGTCCTGGACCCAGTGGCTTAAATTCACGCCGGGAGCGTGTGCGTGTGTGCCCAAGATCCCGAGAGGAGAATGGAGGAGAAGGGATTGTGGTGTGGCCATCCCCCCCAGGGGGTGATTTCTCGCTTTCTGCTTCTCTGTCTCTCTCTTTCTGGCTAGCACACATGCTTTATAGCAAAAACCTCTCAAAACAAGCAAAAACAAAAATATTTCTCCTAAGAAGATATACAAATGGCCAATGAGCACATGAAAAAATGCTCAAAATCATTGGTCATCATGTTAATGCAAATCAACATCACAGTAAGATGTCACACCCACTAACTAGGAAGCCTAAATCAAAGTCAGATAATTACAAGTGTTGACGAAGATAATAAAAGGAATATAAAATGCTGCAGCCATTTTGAAAAACATCATGGCAGTTCCTCAAAACATTAAACACAGGAGGCTGGCAGGTGGCATGGTGGTTAAGGGCACTGGACTCCCACATGGCCTACTGAGGTTCAAGTCCCAGACTTTCTCACTTTCTGTCCCTCTCTCTCTCTCACTCTATCCCTCTCTGGTCAAATTAAAATAAATAAATAAAGTTAAATAAAATAATTCTTTAATTAAAAGAAGTTAAACACAGAGTTACTATTTGGCTTAATAACTCCACCCCTATGCATTTACCTAAGTGAAATTAAACCAGCTGTATGTCCTTGCAAACAGGAACCCGAGAGTGGCACAGTACTATATCAAAAAGATCCATATGAGAAGGCCCCTAGTTTGGATCCCAGAACCCCTCTGTTCACAACAGGTATTGGTGCCTGTGATCTGGGATGGCTGGGGGTGGATCATGTTATGAAGCACTTGCTAGGGGTGCCTTTCTCTCTGTTGCCCCCACCCTCTTGGAATAAATCAACTTTAATAAAAATTAAAAAGACTTGCAAAGAATTATTCACAGCAGCAAATTATTCATAATAGCTGAAATGTAGAAAGAAAAACTGCAGTTGCATGAACAGATGATGAACAGATTAAAAATATGTGGTATTATACATACACTGTAATATTATTCAGTCACAAACACACAAAATGAAGTACCAGTACACATTCTAACATGTATGAACCTTAAAAATATGGTAAGTGAAAGAAGCTAGACACAGAAGACTACATGATTCAGTTTATATGAAATGTTCAGAATAAATTAAGCCATAGAGACAGAAAATAGATTAGTGGTTGCCTCAGGGTGGGAGAATTGGGAGATGTGGAAATAACAGCTAAAGGGTATGGGATTTCTTCTTGGGGTAATGAAAATGTACTAAAATTGACTGTGGTAAGAACTGCACCACTGTGTGGATATACTAAAAACCAATGGATTATACAAAGAAGAGAAAGAGAGAAAGTGGTAAGATTGTTGACACAAAATGCAATCTTCATAAAATGAAATCAATCAAGTTGTTCAGAAGAAGCACAGTTGCTCCTGTTATTAATCTCAAGGGAACTTTATCTCACTGGTCCTCATTTAAAGGCAGCAGCTTCTAATACAGAGAACAGCATCCCCAAAAGCACAGATACAGTAAACTCAATGATATAATGAAGTCTCACAGGATTTTTAAAATAATTCCTTCACGGTAAGCTAATGGTCAAAAGTCAAAATTCAGTCAAATAAAAACAGTTCCACAGGGAGCCATCACAATGCCCTAGCTAAGCAGCTCTCTGACCATTTAGCTTAATCCAAAGATAAAATCAGAATATCAAAAGGAATGTATAGTATAGGTCATCTATCATCCAGGCAGTTCTCTCTGGATATTATTTTCTGCAAATGACTTTTGGCTATACTCTCCAAATAGCTAGAGTA